GTGGTTCCGGCGCTCGCGCGCCAGATCCGCGGACACGTCGTCAATGTTGAGCTCGTGGCCGACTCCCACCTCCCTCCTCCTCCCAGGTGTGCCCTCCGTTCCTCGTGTGTCCGTGCTTTTCGTGCCCACTTCTGCTCCTCGCGTCCCGTCTCCGCCTCCGCAGCCTTTTCCTTCCTGGTTTCCCCACGTATCTAACACGGAGGAGGAGGAGGAGGAGGAGGAGGAGGAGGAGGAGGAGGAGGGGGAGGGGGAGGGGGAGGGGGAGGGGGAGGGGGAGGGGGACGGCCCGCGACCAGGCCCCTGGGCCCGGGGACGCACACGTTTGCCAAGTCCCCTTCCCCTTTCCCATGGGGTTCGGAGCCATTTCGACTCCTTCTCCTCCTCCTCCTCCTCCTCCTCCCTCCCCCTCCTCCTCCTCTTCCTCCCCCTCCTCCTCCTCCTCCTCCTTCTCCTCCTCCTGCTCCTGGGCGGCCGCGTTGGGCACGGGGCGCAAGGGCGGCAGGAGGAGAAGGGGGCGGCCGCGGCGGGAGAGAGCCTCTGAGGAGCCCCCGCTGCCCCAACAGACTTCAGGCTTGCTCCGGAAGGCGTCCTCCGCCCCCCAAGCCCCAGCCATCCCAAACCTGTGAGATGTGTGTTCGTGCTGCTCGGCCGTCCAGCGTCTCGCTGTCAGATGACCTTGAGTGCGCTTCAGAGGGCCTGAAGAGAGACAGCCCCACAACGCCCGAAGAAAGCCCGTGGACGGCCCCACAACGCCCAAGTGGGACCCGAAGGGGCACGACGGCCACGACACGTTCGAACATGGTTTTGGTGCCAACGCCATGGCGGGGTCTGGCAGTGCGACGCCGTGAAGCCTGGCTTGGAGGAGTGAGACAGTGAGCGCTGTCTGCACGTTTTTCAGCCCTCCCCTCTCTTTCCATCCTCCTCCCCGGGCCCCCCTGGCGGCGCCTCCAGCGCCGCCCCTGGCGCGCTCCGCGCGCCAGGGAGGGGGGTCCAGCGCAGATCCTAGAGATCCGCGCGGAACGCCAACAGTTTACATTTTATGCCGTTGATTGTTCGTGTGCGTTTTTCTCGGCGGGCACCATCGAGGAGCATCTCGGGCCACCCTGCGAACAGCTACGCGCACGAAATCGAGGCACGCACGGGGAGCGGATGCCCGAGCGACGGCCAGTGTTGCGGCGGCGTGCTGTGGCCCAAGATGGAGGCTTCCTGGAAGTGGTTCGCCTGCGGCCCCCCCGCGTGCCGCTGCCCTCTCGGCGGGAGCTCGGCGCTCGCTCCGCCTCGCCTCTCGGGGCCACCCCTTGCGCCTGTGGCTTCCTGGGGGCTCACGCTTGACGCGAGCCCGCGCCCAGGTAAGTAGCCGAAGCTCGTGCATAGCACGAGGACGGGTGGGAAGGCAGGTCGATCGAGTCAGCGGGCCTCGCCCAGTCCCACCCGCCCCCCTACACACATATATTTATATTTATTTATATATATATATATATGTATATATATATTCCTCTTCCTATATTTTTATAAGCCCGGGCGGGGGGAAAACCCGTCACCCCTCCCCCCCCCAAAAACCGGACTCCCGGGATCTGGGGCTTTGGGGCCCTCCAGCGGGCCTAGATAACGAATAACATTATTATAGCGGCGATGCCGGAAAAGGCAACCAGGAGTTATCGCTAAATTGTCGGCATGACCTTCCTGCCAGTCCGCCTGCATACCAAACTTCAAGGACCAAGGTGCATGGCGCGAAGCGCCACTGCAGTCTTGTATATATATATATGTATTTATATATATGCATATACATACCTATATATATAGGCACATATATATATATATATATATCTGTGTATTAAGGTACATACACATACACATAATGCACATGGCGACGCAACTTGGTATGGGGACTGTCGCGAACCACCCCTAGCGAACGAAAGGCGACTGCGCGTGGTCCCGCTTCCGACGACTTGGCGGGCGGGGGAACACGGACCGCGCACGGGCACGAGCGGAATGTTCATATTCTGGCGATAACAATATTTAGCGTTCTCTCGCGCGGCCGAATTTACGATGAACGCGGCGAAGACGAAGCATGCGCCGTGCCGAAGCAACACTGCCACTTTCAGGAGCAATCGGCGAGGCGGCTGAATCAAAGCAATTGTTCGCCCGCTTTCGCGCGGCCCCGCTGCCGCTTCCCGGCGATATGGCAACCGAAAGTCATGCGCCGTGCCAGAGCGAGAACAAAACGTCCAGGCGAAAATAGCACGGAGCCTTGGCTGGGACGACACTTTTCCCACCCACGTGCGGCCCCATCCCCAACGACTTGGCGACTGAAAATATGCGCCGAGCCCAGGAGCGGGAGCGCCATGTTCAGGCGAAGTCTATGCGGCGCCGAGCCAAGCTCTACCGATCGCGTACTACGCTTTTCCCACCCACGCGCGGCCCCATCCCCAACGACTTGGCGACTGAAAATGCGCGCCGAGCCCAGGAGCGGGAGCGCCATGTTCAGGCGAAGTCTACGCGGCGCCGAGCCAAGCTCTACCGATCGCGCGACAGTGCTGACGACGAATTGGCGAGCGGAAGAAGTGCGCCGCGCCCAAGCGGGAATTCAACCCAAAGAGAGACTAGCGCAGCGCCAGGACGAGAGCGACAAGTTTTTTTTTTTTTTGTTTCCCGTGCGATGTGTTGCGCGTCGCATCCATGTATTTTGCAGCGTCGACGGCAAAGCGTAGACGCTGCGAGGAAACGCGTCGACCTTTTGCATGGTTTTCTAAAGAGCGGGATGGAAGGGCCCAGATTGGCCTGCTATCAGCCTGTTTGGTGGCAGAGTGGGAGTTCATTTGAACTCGGAACAAGGATGAGAAGGATGTAGGGATTTCCCGAAGCACCACACCAGCACGCCAAACCCAGGGAACTCCCGTGAAACTAAGGTGCCGCCTGAAATTCCCAGATCCTTCCTGACACGTCTGCTCTCCCGCTTCCCCCTCCTTCCACCGTCGCGATAGTCAAAAGGCCAACCAGTGAGGTGTTACACGTTTCGGGGGCTCTACGCCCACCGGGCCTCCCTTCAGGCATGAACCCACTTGGGTGTCCCAAGAAGGGCTTAACCTTCGACGCCTTGGGAATTGAAGTTCTCGGCACCTGGCTCAGGCTGGCCAAAGACCCGCGAGAGCTAGCGCAAGGAAAGCGTGGGCGGTGCTGCCAGCGGAAGCTCGGCGGAAGCTTGCGGAAACAAGCTGGCATCCCTGGAGAGGTCAACTCAGATGTCCATGCCGTCCACCGACATAAATCCATACAGTCGGACCGAGGTAGGAGATCGAGGTCAGTTGGGGAGGGCACCCTCTTGTTCTTCGTGCTTGTTGGGTGTTCCTGTGTATCCTGGAGAGGGTACCCTCGGATGTTCTGTGTTTTGGCCGGTGGAGGGTCTCATGTGCATAAAGGATGTTTTTGTTGCCAGAGACCGATTGTACGTGGCCGCACAAAGGTCGCACGGCGTAGGCCCTGATGCCCAATGTTGTGACCTCGGAGTTCCATGGATCCCCGGAGGTCTCCACCCTTCCCCAGGACAAGTTTCTCGCCTCCAATGTTGTCTTTGACAGTCCCAAGGAGCTCTGAAGCAACACATGCAAGCGTAAATACCGCTTGCTTCTCTGGCCTGCTAGATTGCACTGGTATCCCCGCATAGTGAACGTAATGGGCTGCACAATGCGTCCAGTAGTTGTTGAGACGTTGCCCCGGTTTGTGTTCGCCGTTGGAAGTTAAGCGTTATTCCGCCCACTAGGGTCCGTGCGAGCTCCCTCTCTTAGGCCTCTCTGATGCCCCTCTTAGGGCCATCTTGAGCGCATTGCGTTGCCGTCTTGGGCCATCTTTGGGCACTCTCAGGGCTGCTCTTGAGGGCCTCTTGTGTCATTTGTGGCCGGTCTGGAAGGCTTCTCTGGCTGTGTTGGACGTTCAAAAATACCCGAAAACGCGAAACCGATAGAAGTGAAACGCATTGGACATCTATGATGTGAGCATATTGTGGCCCTCGTGGGATTTCTATTGGGGCCCTCTTGCGGCGTGTTGGGCGGTCTTGGACTAGTCTGGCGGGCCACTCGGGTCGACTTGGTCTTTCAGGAGCCCGGAACAGTATGATAATGCGGGAACCATTCAAAATGCATCGGACATCCATGATCGACCACATGTAAGAGTGACCCCTCGTTGGAGTGACCTTTGGTGCGGGCCCACTCGGGTCCCCCAATCGCCGAACGCGATGCGATAGTAGCGTCTTGCGCGCTTGTGTTTGGTCCCAGCTTGGTCCCTCCGCGGCCCCCAAGAACCCGCGCACCAAAGGTCACTTTTACAGTCGGGGCGTTGAAGAAGGAACCCTTTTCGTTGGGGAGGGGCTCGGTGTTCCTTGATTGTTCCAAAGTTTGCCTCGGGTTTTCCTGAGGTTTTCCATGGGAAATCGAGGCTGAACCCATTGGAAAAAGGGGCATCGTTCCTCATTTAGAGTTCCTTCGGTCAACCCCTCGACTGTACCCAGGGTCGCTCCTGCGAGTCGCCGAAATGACTCTTGCCTGTTGGGGCCTGCGTCTTCCCTGGCGTGCTGGAGCCAGACACCTCCTGGGCAGCTGGGCGGCCACGGCGGGCGGATTCGGAGGCTCCGAGGGCACCAGAGAGGTGCACTCGCGGGCACCTCCCCCGCCCCTCCCCCTCGCCCCCGTGGTTTTGGACCCCAGGATTAAGTCGGGCCTGTCCCTCTACAGGACGAATATCTCAAGATAGCTGAAAAATAGTCTGGGGACGACTTTTTACCATTTTTTGGTGTTTGGGGGTATTTGGGGAGTCTTCTATTTTTCCGCCCAAAATCCGCCTGTAGGGGGACATGCCCGAGCTAACCTCAGGAGCCACATGTCACACACGCTTGACGTTTTCTCACCCCTCGGGATGCAGGGGTCTGCGGGTTCCTCTTCTGCTTTCTGTTTGACCGTCTGCGACCTCTTCGTCCTCCTTTTCCCCTTCTCCTGCTCCTGGCCGAGGTGCCCCTCGGACTGCTCCGGCGCCGGGGACTGCGACGGCGGCAGCGGGCTCTGCTCGTGCTACCCCGGCTACAGCGGGGCGGACTGCGGCGCCAAGGACGAGGCCCTGTACCCCATTGAGTTCTGTCTCGACGTCACGCTGGCGCCGGGGGAGACAAGCAGATCCGAGGCCCGAAAACCATCACTTCACTGATTCTGGGCCCCAGGGCCCACTGAGGCCCCAGGGGCCCCAGGTCAGTGAAGCGATGTTCTTGTCCCACGTGAGGACCCCGAAATTCACCACTTCACTAGATCGAGCCCAGGACGAAAGTCAGGGGCCGAATTGCTGCTGTGATGCAACATGGGTCTCGTATCGAGGGTGAGATGGCAATTCCCTATATGTTTCTGCACTGCGCGCGCGAGAGCGCGCGATCGCAAGCAATGGGGCCAGCGCGCGGGCCCCCGCGTCCCTACTCCTCCTCCTCCTCCTCCTCCTCCTCCTCCTCCTCCTCCTCCTCCTCCTCCTCCTCCTGCTCCTCCCTTTTCCTCCTCCTCCTCCTCCTCCTCCTCCCTTTTCCTCCCTTCCGAATTGCTGCTGTGATGCCACATCGGCCTCGTAACAGATGCCCCTGCTCCACGGACCTCTCCTGGGGTGCGCTCTGGCCAGAATCTCGAGGCGCGCCCGGCCGTGGTGGCGAGGGGAGCGCAGCGGTGTTGGAGCATGTTCCTCCCCTGAGTGAAGGGGCCCTGGGACACACAAATAAATACACTCAAATAACAATATGCCCCATATGTTCTTATATTTTCTGGGTTTTTCTCTTCCCCCCCACTTCCCATATTTTCCCATATGTTCTTGGGGATCGACGATTAATTGTGTCTGTGTGTTTTTTCCCCTCCTGAATGTTCCTCCCCTGAGGTGTGGGGCATCCGGGGGTACCGCCAGGACGGCGGCGACCTGCTTCCCGAGCACGACCCGCTGTTCACGCTGGACGCGGCAACGCAGCAGTGGCTCCTGGACACGTGCGCGGCCGCGCGCGCCGACGGCGCGCTGCGCGTGCGGGGCGAGGTGCAGTGCTTCATGGAGGCGCTCAGGTCCTGGCGGTACCGGAGCGACGCATCCTTCCAGCAGGGCGACCTCGTCTGGGCCGACCTGGGAGGTGTTGGCATCTCCGCCTTGCTGCCCGACTCCGTGGCGCTGCCCGCAGCCGGTGGTCCCGTCACTGGAGAGCAGGTCGCCCTGCTCGCGTCTGAGACAGGCCTCGATGTCGATGCGCTGATTGCGATGGGTCTCGTCGTGCCCGTCGCGGGCGCCAGCTTCACGGCGGCATTCCCTATTCCGCAGACGTTGGTCTCGGAGAAGATCGAGGAATTCTTCAACGTGGGCCGCCTGAGAAAATTGTACGCTGCAGACGTTGGCACAGTTGGACTCGGTTACTTGGGAAGCATAACCTACGTAAGGCAGAGGTTGGCCATCAACGTTCCTTCTGATGCCAATTTGCAGGAGCTCGAGGAGGAGTACCAGAAGTGGGCCTCGTTTGTGGAGGCCAGGAACATGGCGGCTCCGCTGGGCGGGAAGATGATTCATCAGGCTGACACCGCTTCCGCTGACCTCAAGGGAAGAAACGAAGGAGGGAAGAAGGGAAAGCAACGATGTTGCGACGCTGTTTCGGGGTTGTCGCTTCGGCCTTGGACGGTGCAGCTGTGCACAGTGCAGCATAGGCATTCACCCCTGTCGATTTGGGGTTGCGGCTCCGTTTCGCGTTTTCTTTTCCTTTGGCCCAGAGGCCTTCGCCCCAAGATCGAGTTTATCGATCCTGCTTTCGCTTTCGCTGCTATCGGCGATCGGGAAAAGCAAAAAGAAGGAGGAGGTTCTGCACAGCAGAGTCCGAGGAGGAGGGAGGATGAGTTTGCGTGGGCTCGTTGTGCCTAAAATGCGCCATAATCACCACATGAGCATTTTAACGCACGCTGAGAGTAGCGAACCGGGTAGAGAGCAGCTTGTGCAGGGCAATCATCAATCAAGCATCAGTCATAGACAAATCGCACATCTGAACACGTCAAAAGGCTGAGACCAGACCCTATGGGCCGCTGAACATCTCTTGCACCTGGCTTCCCTCCACCTAATGCGCTCCTCGATGTACTCAAACTTTCTACTAGCCCTGAGCCAGATTCAGTGCACTACCCACCTCTCACCGAGCGTCAGAAGGGGGGCATGTCGGAGTTCAACGCTCCTCCACGCCGCACTGGTTTGGGGATCTATGTGACCAAGTGTGTGCTCTTCTGGATGCACCTTCCCCACGTGCTTGAAACAGGTGAGGCCGCACTCGAGACCTTCCACCACCGCCACATCCGACTCGTCGCCGACATCTTTGAGAGTGGATTCGTCTGCCTACACCTCCTCGGCCTGCTGTTGACACTCACGATGAACAACGCCTGGGTTTTGCTAATCGTCATCGCCCAACACAATGGACCATAGGCAAATGTGTTGCTGGGCTCGGTCAGCCTGGCTCGCATCCTCCAGCCGACCGTTGCGTGCTGCTTCAATGGATGTGCCCTGCCCAAGGCACTGCAGGAGTCATAATTGCATGACCTCGCAGTCCCGAAGGTGCTGCCACCAACACAATAAGAGCGGCTTGACATACAGTCGGTGCCCTGAAGAAGGAACCCTTTTCGTTGGGGAGGGGCTCCATGTTCCTTGATTGTTCGACAGTTTGCCTTCTGTTTTCCTGAGGCTTCCGAAGGGAAATCGAAGTTCAACTTATGGGAGAAAGGGGCCCCGTTCCTTATTTAGGGTTCCTTAGGTCAACGCCCCGACTGTAGACCCCCACCAGTGCCAACCCACTACCTCGGCCAGACTTGTGACCATACTTACTTTCACCGTCCTGTCACTTGTGCGTGTTGCCGATCGCGCCCTGGGCCTCCTCTGCCGATGGCTCATCGGCGATGACGGCACCGCCTCGCTTCGCGTATTACCACAGACCCATCCAGAAGCTGTTCCCAGGCGAGTTGTCGAGAGAAGGGAAGGGTATCAGCAGTGGTGAAGCACAGAGGGTGGCCATCCAATACAAAGCAGGATGCAGCACAGCACCCCTCAGAGATCACCAAGTCCGGGTGATTTGGAGCTTATTGGAGGCCTCTTGCAGCCATATTGGGGTTCGCTTAGGACTTGGGCTCTCCAGGAGCTCTGTTCTGGACAGTTTTGATATCATCTCGTGCCCTGTGGATGCCACTCTGGAGTCCCTTGGCCAACAAAAAGGGGTGGTGCCTTTTTCCGCGGGCCTGAGGTGCCCTCTCGGGGCCTCTCAGTATGGCCCTCTCGGTGCCTGGCTATGGCCTCAGACGCCCTTCGGAATCTGGAAAGGCTGGAAGGCGAACGCGGCGGTCAAACTCTCACGTTGTCGTCCTCCTCCTTCTCCTCCTCCTCCTCCTCCTCCTCCTTCTCCTTCTCCTGCTCCTCCTCCTCCTCCTCCCTCCCTCCTGCTCCTCCCTCCTCCTCCTCTCCTCCTCCTTCTCCTCCTCCTCCTCCTCCTCCTCCTCCTCCTGCTCCTGCTCCTGCTCCTGCCTTCCTGCTCCTCCTCCTACTCTCTCCTCCTCCTCCTCCTCCTCCTCCTCCTCCTCCTCGCCTCCTCCTGCTCCCCCTCCTCCTTCTCCTCCTCCTCCTCCTCCTCCTCCTTTTCCTCCTGCTCCTCCTCCCTCCTCTTTCCCCCTCCTGCTCCTCTTCCTCCGCCTCCCCTCCTCCTCCTCCTCCTCCTCCTTCCTCCGCCTCCTCCTCCTCCTCCTCCTCCTCCTCCTCCTCCTCCTCCTCCTCCCTCCTCCTCCGTCCTCCTGCTCCTCCTCTTCCTCCTCCTCCTCCTCCTCCTCTCCTCCTCC